GTAGTAGTAGTAGTAGTAGTAGTAGTAGCAGCAGCAGCAGCATTTCATATTTTGCTGAAGAATAAAGTTTGTAGAAGCACTTTCAACAAATGATCAATAACAACACATGAATAGCAGCATCACAACAGCAGTAGTAGAATTTCTTTAAACAACAACAGCAAATTACATTCTTGTCATCTTGTTAATTTATTGTAAAACATGTTTTGACGCTTAGCTAACCTCATTTATGGAAAAGCCGAGCCCTTGGTATCACAATATTGAACTCTTAAAAAGTCATTTCCATCATTCACTGTCTACAGTTGATAACGAGGTGATGGCACCGTTAACGTGGTCATGCGAGCAGTGCGTCAGGATCTAGATATTTAAGTCATCAGGAAGTCTTCCACAGAAACAGTTCAAATACCACGTATCGGCCGTGATGTGTCTAAAATCCGATTACATCTAAGATGGGGAACTAATTATTGCGTAGAAGACGAATTTGAAATGGCAAAAAAAGATTTGACCGCTGAAAATCAGTTATATACGACCCTAATGTTAGTGCAGCCTCCCGGATAACGGAATCAGTGGCGTTGAGCCAAGCCATGAAAGCGCAAGAAGCGACTGATTACTCTATCTTTTAGCACGCGTTGTAGTATTTGTGTTTGCGCCAGTTCATCGTGAAAGCGTAGAGCGATTCCTTGATCAAAGAACGAAAGACCTATATAACTGCGAAAGAAAAACGACGGCGTGTCATAAGGATAAGCATTTTTTCAGCATAAAAGAATTTAAATAAGTGTAAAATATGAAAGATTTAAAAGCTATTTACTGATAAAGTTACACTTCTATCGGAACATTCTGAAAAACCATAACGTGAAACTTAATCGGCCACAGTAGCTTTCATTTTTGACAACTAAGTAAAATTTATTAAGCTTTTTTAAAAGAAGTGATAAAGAAACGATACTCGGTACGCGCAAGTGTTACTAGTATTATTTGCACGTACCAAGAGTCCGATTATCTTGAGAATAAGATTCTTCGTTTGAGTTGTATCCATATTCAAGGGTCTATTACAGCCATGGAAAGTTGTATAACTGCGATTCGTGCATGGATGATTACAGATAAGATGAAAATAAATAAAAGCAAAACGGAATTTCTAATAATTGGAACAAAAAAAAACAAAAAAAACAGTTAAGCAAAATCTATATGATTGACAAGTTGTCTGTGGGAGATTCTATTGTGAGACCAGTCACGACGACGGCAAGGAATTTAGGAGTGCTATTTGATGACAACATGACATTGTCACCACATATAAACAACACCTGTAAAACTGAATTTTACTCGATTCACAACATCAGAAAGATCAGAAGATACCCTTCTGTCGAAGCAACAAGAACTCTTGTCCACGTCGTAGTTATGGGAAGAGTTGACTATATTTGCAATAGTCTACTTTACGGACTGCCGGCGAAATCGATCTCCAAATTATTAAAACGGGTACAAAACGCTGCGCGGCCCGATTAATAACGAACACGCCCAAATACAACCACATCACGCCTGTCCTAGGTTCATTACATTGGCTACCAGTAAAGGAACGAATACATTTCAAGATCTTAATACTAACGTTCAAAGCTGTCTATGGAATATCAGTGCAGCTTCCTAGCCGTTACGCTCTTCACAGAAACAATGAACTTCTTCTGAAGCCATATAGTGCAAAGTCTTTAAAAACTCTGGGTAATAGGGCCTTTGATGTTGCCTCCCCATCTCTTTTTAATGCATTGCCTCGCCATATCACAGAAAACAACAATTTCTACAGATTTAAGACTCTATTAAAGACGTTTTTATTTAGGATTGCTTATGAATTTTGAGCATTTATTTATATAATTTAATTATTTAGGTTGTAAATCGGACTAGAATACCGAAGCCGTGGGTTCGAATCCCGCCAAGGGCATTTGATATTTTTCTCTTATTCTCTCTATTTAGGTTGTATATAACTTTAATCAAAGATTTACATTTTACAGTAGTTGGTACATTATTGATTCATTCTAAATATTGTGTAGACATCTTACGTATATAGCATGTATTATATCTTATTTTATTTATTCTTGTTACACGCATGTGATCATATTTACATGTTTCATGCGCGCTATCAATAATAAAGGTTATCATTATTACTATTGTTATTACTATTATTATTACTATTATTATTATTATTTTATTATTATTATTATTATTATTATTTGTCTTCTTATGCGCAAATGATACTCTAGGGAATATGACCCGTATCTGCCCGGGCGCGCGCTCTTAGAAAAACCATCGGGAAAATGGTGTGAGCAGGGCCGTACGGCTTTGAGCGAGCAGGGCCGTACGAATCCGTACAGCCCTGCTCGAAACCTGCGAAAAATTGTCTTTTATCTTCCCTTTTTTTCTTCTGCAAAATGGAATTGGAAAGAAGCGTGGCTGATTGCTAAGAATAATGGCATTCTTTTTAACAGAGACTGTGGACGCACTAAACGGCCTCAAATCGCGCTGAAACTTCGCCAGAAGACTGAACAAAGTAAAAGCAACAACTGCAGCAAGTTTTGACGCAAAATGTTCAGTGAAACATTTTATTGCCATGACTTAATGACTTTATCATAACTCCCATACATTTCCTTATAAACCATACACAGGAACCTTGTTTGGGCTGCCTGTGCTCTCATGTCGTGTCTCTGTCCTCTTATATAAACACATGCCGATGAGCGTGCGAGTTATCAGCCCAAATATCATCAATTGCCTCCAGCATTTCCGATGTACTAAGGACATACAAATTGAACTTTGACTTCAATCTAATATAAGCAACGTTAATAAAGGCAAACTGAAACCCATAAAGTTATCAAGGAGCTATAAACTTTCTGATCTTCTTCATATTGGCGAAAACGTGCGTCATGGTCGCCATCTTGGATAAAGTTAACATTCCATTCATCCAACATGGCGGCAGCTCTTATCCCTTCCCTATGAATGTTTGCACTCTCATCTGGCGATTTCAAAAATTTAGATTCACTAGCCATCACTGAGCCCTCCAGGCCATAGAAAAAATGAAGATACGGCAAAACAGGGAAAGAAACAAACCCCTTCAAAGTATAGAGAATAATTTTCTGTTGTTTTGTCATTAATCATATAAAGGTGTATGTCATTGAGCGATGATTCAGTAATAAAAACAGAAAACATCAACGAATATTTTGACTTTTTACTGTGTTTTAGACAGGCCATACTTAGAACTAATAGCGATTATTACTGAGTAGCAGATCTAGAATTCTTTTATTAGAGCGTTGAATGATTACAAGACTGAAAGCAGCGGCAAATTCCATTAGTTTGGCCTTTCGTCTTAACTACCCTTGCCGTTCATGTCTTTATCAGTCGAGAAAAAATTCCTTGAAGATTCTGTAGAGAAGGCGATACAAACATACTTCTATACAGCAGTACACATCGTATCAGTTTTGCATTCTATAATATATGGATAACCATTCCAAGCCGTCATCTTTAGGCCGTTTTATTAGGCTTAAAGTGGATAAAATAAGATTAAAAACATATTATAAGCATGCAGGTCGCCACAGGGCCGTGCTAATAGTAATCATCAACGTATCGAAGGGCACATATGGTCATCAAGATACCAATTAACTGCGGAGCAAGCAGAAACAAAATGTTAGAGCTGTTTTTATGCGACCTTCAAAGCTTTATACGTGTGACTTTGGCCTTGCATTTTGATGTTTTTACCAAAGGACGAATGAGACAAAATGCGGTACAGCATCTGTAAGATTTAATCGATGGTTTTTATTGCCGTCATTAGGAAAATGTTACAAAGGGCTTTTTTTTTTTTTTTTTTGTATGAACTAAGATGGCGACCTTATATTTTGTTACATCATTTTCTTCAAAAAATACGCCATTTTATCCTCGATTAGGAAAATAGTTCCCTAGTCCTGTATCTTATGAATTGTGCGTTCTGATTAACTGTGCGTGGTGCGACATTTTCTAACGTGTGCAAGCGGTCCGGTATCCTGGGATCAAGGGCACTAGGACACCGAACGTGGTTGGATTTCTATAGGTTTTTTCCCTTTCGATTATTTGAAAKTAATTAACGTTATACTTGTTTACTTATCTTGTGTCCGTGTTCCTTCGCTGTTATAATGCAGCCGTTTTCTTCCAAAGGTCAAACGGTTTGAATATAGCCGATGAGCGTTCCGTACTTGACTCTGTTTGTACTATACCAACAACAATGCAACCGCGCGATTCTCCTTACGTCAGTAATATTCAGCCGTCCTAGATTTAATATGGTTAATCAAATAGAGTCCCGAAAAACAACTATAGAAATCCAACCACGTTCGGTGTCCTAGTGCCCTTGCTGGGATAACAGATTGCTAAATAGCAACAAAATTGTAAAACAAGATAAAAAGTAAATAAGTTATTTGCAGTACTAAAGTCGGTCCGGATAGGGAAAAACTGTGCCCTTTAAAATTTATATTTTACAACAATTACTCCCCGTACGACTACATTCTATATGAGATCCCGGAGTAAACAAAACATCAAACAAACTCCCATATAATCCAGTCGGAGCCGGGGCTCGAACCCGGCCAAAACGGTGAGCGGCGAGCAGTAAACCACTACGCCAACCATGCGACCCACGAGATAAACGTATATTCAAGACCTCGGGTATGCACTAATAACCTCTATTGTTTTCTAATAAGTAGTCCTACCTGTAAAAACGATATTCCTATCATCACAGACCCAAGTATTAGCAAGTGTTCCTTGAATAAGATTGTTAGCTCCCATATGCATCCCTACAGAACACAAAGCACAAGAAAGTTATTTTAAGGAGTATCTTGATTGACAATAACATGGACTCATACTTCCTGAATTCTGGGGAACGAAGGTACAAGGAGTATTGAACCTTCCTCTAATTCAAACGCCAGTATAGATTTAGATACCCAGAAATAACCTTTAGTCTTAGCTGATCTGCTGACAAGGCACGGCGAACGCACAGAGGGGGTGGAGGGGGAACCATCAGTCTTAGCTGATCTGCTGACAGGGCACGGCGAACGCACAGAGGGGGTGGAGAGGGGGGAAGAGAGGGGACCAAAGAACACGGAGAAAAACCCTTGAATTAAATTAGTGTAGCACAGAACTGTCTTCCAGTTACATATGACTGCAATAGTATTACATCTCACCTCGCGATAGATGTTAGAAGGGTGGTCCCTTTTGCCACACTTTAATGACGGCGTCTTGCAGCAGGAGTCTGGTACTGTGTTATTACCGCTGACCTCACTCTGTTTCCAGGCTGTTGAGTTCCATGATGCATATGACAAGTCGCCACAACATTTGAACTACGATTGTGAAATAACAAGTATGCTACATCATTTTGCATTGTATTCACTATCTCACCTCGGATTGGCTGAAAGCATTCAGCCAATTCTTAATTGTGTGTGAACTTGACATGATAAATGAATGGCAGGTTTCATGGAACGTGGTTTTTTTTTTTTTTTTTTTTTTTTCGCAGTTTGGAGAAAGCGGTTTGCTGGCCGTCAAATCTCATTGAAAATTATATGCAAATTTAGTCTTTTTTATATTAGATGTTCAAAAAAATGTAACACACAATTAGAGTTTCTTAAGCTGTTCTGTCTTTTTTTAATACTATAGACTTTAGAAAAACAATACGGCCGACCGTCTATTGCAACCAGCACTGATCAAGTTTGACGGTCAGCGTCTTTTTGTACTAAATACGCCACCGGTAAACCGTGAAATCTAGCTCCCACTATCTGTAGGATTTTTTCTACATAGTTTTATAAGTATGATAAATAGAACACTTACTGACTGATGCAACTTGTCAAACGCCACGGTAACGCCTTTGTCGCTACCATATAAATTCATCGTGTTCTTTGTTGATTTATAAATTTCATCTTTTATCTGCAAAAACAACACAACACAAGAAACATTAGAGAACGTCTATTCTATTAATGTATTGGCTTGTATATATGTACTTATTTGGTATCATAACCCAGGTAAAGATATCGAGAACTTTGGACTATGCACTTTACTTCTCTTACTTGTCCAGAATGCTTTACGGTCGCGCGCGCGAAAGCGAGGTCAGGGTTTGGGGGTACAACAGATGATCAAAAATAAACAAGATGACGACTACTAAAATTTTCAATCAACTTCGGTCGTGAAAACCTTTGAAAGTCAAGCCTAAAATGGGCAAGAATGACAGATGTTGCGTACAGAAATGTAGACATGACAGAAATGAAAAAGCTACATTACTTTTCGCATCAGATTTCTCAAGAACCAAAAGATTACATTTGAATATAGGCGTGATTGCGCGCGCACCGTTTGTTAATGTGTATTCTATTTTAGAAATAAATCGATGTTGTCTATACTTTTTCAAATATACCTTGAAAGTTGCTTAAAAAATAGTGGCTCGTATACCATACAATTAAATACAGTAAATCAGATAGGCACAGTATTCCACTCCACTTATTCTCCTCCCATTATTCCCCAACTGACATTTTTATGGTAAGGGCTAAGCTAGATAACAATTATTAATTGAATGAGGTTGAGCACGGTCTACTAAATCATTATTATACTGAGCAGATTGATATTTGTAGGCAGTTATTTGCAGTTATCTCGGCCAATCAAAATAACGGGGGAAGGGGGCATTTGAATGACAATACCTTATATGTCAAAAATTTTTTAGTGTCATGTCAAAATTGATGCATACCAGGGATTAGGCTCTCGGCAACTCAGTCACGAGAGAGTGAGTAAAATGTATAATGATACATTTTGTCCCTCTGTATATATTCCTTGTATACACACAACCCTCCTTACCTATAGGAGTAAAAACAAAAGAACTCCCTTCTCTTGAGGATTGAAGTTTTTTTGTTAGGATTTAGAACAAGGTCGCTAAGAAACCATGGCAAAAAGTCTATTCAGTATTCAGGCCTGAAGTGTATTCAGCACAAGCAATCGAGCTTAAATAATGTTTGACGTCTGACATAAAAAGATACTGTGCTACGATAAACTAAGCTTTGACAAAAGCTTTATTATTGCTAGACAAACAGATACTCATCGTAAATCCCAGACCCTCCCAGAGCTTAATTAAGGCCGCGGTGTGTAAGGAATTGACTCTATTGACGTCTGCGAAGGATACTAGCTAAACAAGGTTTGTTATCCATACAAAACAGTGATGAACAAATACCTGATAGCGATGTACAAAAGCCACGATACCAACTGACAACTGAATGATAAATATTAATGACAGCATTATCATGAACTGAAAAAAACAACAACACGTATTGATGGGTTGCAAGCATTTCTAACAGAGTCAAAAAACAAAAACAAGGCGGCCACTTTGGTGGTATTAAGGAAGAAAGCTAATGAGAAAACTTTTTATTAAATACCATCAAGGCCAAGATGATGTAACATAAGGTATAGTTTGAGCTTTCGATTCCACGTGAGTCCTGATCACAATGAATCATGAGTACTAGTGTTTATGCTCTACTGCAGTAACGAGCTTTTGGACACTTGATTGTCCTACAAGTGGTATCGCCCTCCATCTCGATTGAAATCTGGGGTGTTAATTCGGATGTGGATCTTGCCTTCTTAAGAGCTTAAATTCGTACCACAGCGATTCAGTATCTAGGACTTGAATGTGTGTAGTGGTAATTTGGTGGCCCAGACACTCTGTGTATGGTTGTGCCGAGCAACCTCCGAAGACTTGGTTGAGCAGCCCTTGTCGTCCTAAGTGTTCGTTCTGTCCAAGGGCGGATCCAGCCAAAATTTTAAAGGGGGGGGGGTGGGGGGCTAATTGAGTTTCTTCCGTCAACACAACGAAAAACAATATAAAAAACCATCGTTTTTTTCTGCTGAATGGGGGGCTTTAGCCCCCATTTGCCCCCCCCCCCCCCTCCCTGGATCCGCCATTGCTGTCTCACTCAAATCTCACTCTCACAATCGATAACATGGAACCACCGCAACATATACGATACGCAACATTCTATTTCCTTAGAGAAAACAATTGTTTTAGTGTTTTTTATGGGCTTGAAGTAGGCGTCAGAGCCATGACGTTTGAAAATGTCTTGGATAATGTATGGAAAAGGAACAGCGCATCTTCTTGGTGTTCTAGTGGGTTGCGTTCCTTTCGTTGAGTTCACTGGGTTGTGAGTGTCTGCTCGGTGTAATGCTGGATGATTAACGAATCCCAGTTTGTGGGTTGACTTGCGATCTATTATAACGCTCAAATAGCCATCTTCTTGGCGGGTCGTACATGTATCCAAAAAAGTCAAAGCTCCTTGCTTTTCAACCTCTAAAGTAAACTTGATATCCTCGTCCACATTATCTAGATGGTCAGCAAACTCTTGTCAAGATCTTCAGATATCTTTCAAGACGTGTCATCGACATACGGGTACCAACAGTTAGGTGCATGGGTTGGGTGCAGAGGTTATAGCCCAAACGCTTAAGTATAACCTCATAGGTTATAGCTAAAGATTTATTTAACTATAGTTAATCCAGAATAACATGTATGTTAATTATTTCTAATTATTAATTGGTGGTTAAAGTTGTATAAATAAATAAATAAATAAATAAATAAGAGCTCATGATTTACTATAACTCACCGTAAGCAAGAGATAGCGGTGTTCTTTCATAGTACCATAGCAACCACACACACAGACCAGGATGACCACGCCTCCTATGCCAATCATTAACCCTACTATAATCAAGTATCTTGTGCTGCCTAGCAACAAATGGTATTGCTCTTCATAGTATAGGGTCCAAACTCCAACTATGATCATTGCTATCCCAGAAAGCTGTTTATAAAAACATAGTGTAAGCAATTGCATTAATAGAACCACAGGCAACCCAAATACTCAGAGCTACTATTATTGCTATCCCACAAAGCTGTTTATAATAGACACAGGGAGTAAATTACATGACTAACAAAGCCACAGGTAGCCCAGACACTTAGAACTACTATTAAGCTGTTTTTAGAGCTCCTGTAACTGCTATCCAAGAAAGCTGTTTATAATAGACACATGCAGTAGTAAGTAGCAGGGTAAGTAGTATAACTAGCAAAACCACAGGCAGCCCAAACACTTAGAGCTCCTGTGACTGCTATCCAAGAAAACTGTTTATAATAGATAGACACAAGGAGTAAATAGCTTGACGAGAATATATGGATGGATGGCTGAGAGAAACCATGCTAAATGATTATATTTGATTCGCATATATTATTTAAAAAAGCTTAGGACTTATTACCTAAGATTGATTTTGGTATTCAATATCCAATTCATTATACGGGCATTAATTGATACAAATCATCTTAAGGCTTTTACTAAACCACTAGCCTGGATTAGGCCCATTAATAACGTCGGCTACCTATTCATTAATAGATTACGAAAACCGCATTCGGTTGTTATTTGGATTTGCGTTTGAAGATGCGTGGATCGGACAACATGCAAGACTAGAACAACTGTTCTTTTGCGACGTCAAAACGCAACAAGAACCTTAGTGACTCAAATAATGATGTAAGAAACGTTAGTTTTTCCCAGTAGTGTTCTGTTATAAAACCATCAAAAGCCACCTAATGTTACGAGAACAGAAGTTTACTGATAATCCAACTGTGTTTCGGTGAGTAATCCAGCAGCGTGCTACTAACCACGGAAACTCATAATAAATTATTGAATACCAAACACGGGGGGAAAAGGAAAACCGGCTTAATTGACAAAGAATCTTGCATGAGAGTCGAAATCTCTGATTGCTTTTAATCTTCGCATGTGAATAAAGAATATCTTCCTTTTAATTACTATATCGATATCCCTGCAAAAGAACGTTCATTCTATAATAAATAAAGAAAAAAAAACATTTATACTACTCATGAAATTAAAATTAAAGATCAAGTTATTGGAATAGAATTATTGGTCAGGTTGACTCAGTGTTAATCAGGATGCACTACCAGCTAAGTACAATAATGTTTAATAGCATGCTTATCTACCAAATCTAGATTTCTGACATATCATTTTCTAACGTATCTTAGAAGAGGTCACTATCATGACGATTTATAGCTGTTATTTATTAATAACCTTGATATAATGACATTATCAACACGTTAAATGAACATAGCTTTAATGATAGATTAACATATCAATTGTCTAGAACAGATCGGAGTTCATTATCAACAGTTATCTATTTTTACCGACGCTCAGCTGAGTGGTTCTGATACTGAGATGTGGAGCAGTTAGTCCAAAACATTTGAATCGAAACACTTCCAATGAGCACTTACAGACGACTTTAAATAGTACATAAATAACTCATTACACTCACCCCTACAAGGCAATTCTGTATCATAAAAGAACTTTTCGTACATTCCCAGTCACAACAAGTCCCATCTGGATCATTCATATTCAGTAAAGGCTTCTATAGTCATCCCAACAGTGCCAGTCTACTTATTCAACCATGTTTCTCAGCCGCTATGCGATTTCCCAATCATTTGGTCCAAGCGTTTTCCGGTCTCTTACATGTATTTAATCTCTTGTTTTAACAAATTAAATATTAACTGTTGCATGATATTATCATCCGGCGGAAACATTAAATGACAGTGAGTGTGAGAGAACGTCACCATGGTAACGGACTCCAGCTGGTTGGTTTATGCAAGCTAGAAGTGACCTATCTCTCTGTGTTGTATATGTATAGGGGGCCGGAAATGTATAATTGCCAAGTACGTCTTTCAAACATGTCATGATATAGCAGTATTGTGTTAGCAGCGTGTTTACCTTTATGGTACAATGATACTTTCAACTATCTCCTATAGAGTTGGTCAATCCACGGTTATTTTATGACGACCACACAGCTGAAATGTTCCCAGTGTACTGCAAACTTTGTGAACCTATGACAGCTAAGCCATCTGAAGAGCACAGCACTAATAATTGTCCTAGCATAACTGAACTGTCGCTTGGTGATCAGTAATAAACTTTAGCATGGGGTTCAGTTAATCAAATTTCAAGACAAGTAGCCAAATCATATAAACCCAGGTGTACTTGGCGAAGATGAATTCTTTTTGTTATGACTTGAACTTGAACATTACATTACTTATTTGTGCGCATGTCTGTTAAATCACTCTCGCCTCCCACATGGATGAAGTCGTATACAGAAAACTGGTCATCAGTGGAAATGGGATCAATAATGGTCATAGCAAGGGGTTAATCATATACGGTCTAGGGGCCGACTAACCTCTCCCTTAGGCTTCGGCCGAGCTCCCTGATCATTATGGATAGCGGTGTCGGGGCCGAAATCTCCGGCATAGCCGTAAATGCTTCGCGCTGCCATACTGCGCTTTGGCAAGTCTGGAGGTATGGTCCCAAATGTTATAGCAACAAAAATAACTATAAACCAGCATTTTAAACTGCCCTATGAAAACAATTGATCAGGGCTGGTTTACTCATAAAACACACTTTAATATAATGCAGCATTTTGTGTTTTGTTGTCGTTGATTTTTTGAGCGACAGTAAAGTAAGAACAATGTACATTAAGTAAGAGTTAATAAGCCTTTTCATAATTTAAGAATCGATTCCAATGCGCATGCGATTTTATCCCGAATTTCGCACCTTCTTTTGTTTAATTAAGAACAAAAGAAGGTTTAGACAAAAGAAGGTGAGAAATTCGGGATAAAATCGCATGCGCAGTGGAATCGATTCTTAAACTATGAAAAGGCTTATTACCGAGAACGGAGATAATAAGCCATATACATCCCGAGGGCCGCAGGCCCGAGGGATGTATAGGCTTATTGTCGACGTTCGAGGTAATTAAGTATGTTATTTATCAACTGAGAAGGTTTTCTATCAAATGTTGCTCATTATAAATGCGAAGTCTACTCAACATAGTTATTAACCGGGTTAATAACTAACTATATATTGACCTTGCATTTATAATGAGGGTTATAACAAAAACTAAAGCCTTGTGAATAACAAAGAAAACCGTGTCAATTGAGAAATTTGTCCCAGGTTCATAAACAAATATCTCCTTGCAACATGAAACACAGGTAGCCCAAGCTCGGTTTCTGTGGTATCATATTATATAAGAAAATGTTTTAAATGTTTATAGCTGACCTTTGAAAAGTAGTAGGCTCGTTCGCCCTGTGTGGCTAGATTTTGGATTAAGCCATTTTTAAAATTTTTTCCTTCACTGCATGCTTCTCTTCTTATGATTTATAAAGGCTTTTAAGGATCGCCATACATTTTCTTATGACACCATACAGAAAACTTGAGCTAGCTAAGCACGGAAAGATCGGACTGYAAGAATGCTGTGTTATGCCACACAACAGAACGCCTCCCTGCACCATGTTCCTGCTACATAGGTGGTACACACCGGGAATACCCCACCCATCTTTTGTATTTTCCTTGTACACACACGAGCCTTTGCGCACAATTTTGTAATTCATTTTATCTTTTTTTTTTATCGTCATCATAAGAAACAGGTTGATATACTGAATAGGTTCAAGTTTTGACATAAACGGGCAAATATTGTCCTGTGGTGCCAAAGGTCATCACTTCAATAGTACTCCATTCTGATCGAAACTTAAATGTGAGTCATTTTTTTAAGGAATTTTGTTTCCGATTTTAAAACGGTTTTATTTCTTAGCGAAGACGAAAAGTTATTCTTAAAGAGATTCATTTACAACTGAACGCGAACGGCAAACGATCGAAGGCCGGGCGAAACATTCCTAAATCTCTTATTCAACGAACATTCTCTGGTACACGTTTTCCTAGTGCGTTTGTGTTATACAGCCTAAAATATGAAATAGGATTGCCAGACTGAGTAAAGCAGTATCCCGCAAGTACGTAAATAACTGAAACAAACACTGAAATATATATAACCTAATCCGTTTGTCCTAGCGCACTTGTCATGTGTATACATTATTCTAAATGGGAGGCTTCTAAGAAAATATGAGAAAACACATTGCATTGCGCATGTTTCCTCTTTCCTTGCGCTGCACTTAATGTTGAAGCTAGTTATAGACGCTAGAAACTGATGGCTAAAATTCTTTATATGCAAAACAATTTTTTGAATCTTTCAAAGTTAGAGTGTTTCACTTATTAGTCTCTGTTATATGGGATAAAACTAAAGCAGATATTTCTCTAACCTACCATAATGACTACGATAGCTGTCCGTAGGATGGTTATTAGACCGTGTGTTTTTGTTTTCGGAGGTTCGAGGCTGGCTACATACATTGAGTCTACATTGGTATCCTTCATTCTTTATACAATAGACTTCAGACCCCTTCAATCCTACTCCAAGTCTGTTTTGTCCGATCTTAACGACTATATAACTGTGGCGGTAAATACGCAATTGTAAAATCATTTTGTCGGGTTCAAAACATATAGAACATAGCCTGGGCTGAGACCGAAATGGTACATGGGAAGTACGTTAATTAGATCGGTATCTAGTCGTCAACTCATGGAATGTTCATAAATTGTAGCACTGACAGAGGCTATAGAAGACTTTAATTTAGGCACCGGTCATCATTTAAGGGGGAGGGGGAGAGAGTCACTATTTTTTGGGGAGTGCCATCATTTATTAAGTGCCGTTTAAGGCGGGAGGGCTACAATATTTTGAAATGAGTTCTAGGCGGCCATTATATTTTGCGTTGTTTAAATATTGCCATGCATGAAAAAATATATATTCTTATTAATTTGAATTATAGTTAAGCAATCAGTTAGAGAATAAGCCATATGAGGCTTATTGCCGACGTTCGAGGTCTTTAACTGACTTATTTCATATTTGAGAAGGTTTTCACATAACGTACCCCCGCGATATTAATGATTAACCTTCGAACTTTCGAAGCCCCAAACGATCGTTTTTGAGAATTTTTCGCAGAAAAAAAACTTCAAGACGCGTAATAAACTATTATGATCTTTATTTCAAAATAATTTTTCTTAAAGACCAACAATTGAAGAGAGATTTTAGAAGCAGCATTTGTGTATCGACAGCTACCTTTTTCCTACAGGCCGGGATACCCGAGAAATCCAAACCACGATTAAATTTTTTGGGTTTATAAAAACCACTCTAACTCACCAGAAGGAGACCACTTTTATAGCATATCATGATACATGAATACCTTCCTTGTTCCTTTTGCATGAAATCCTTGCTAGTATATTGACCTTTAGGTCGCGGGTATGAACGCTAATACAATCCGCTCACTGAGTCGTGTGTTCAATCTTGACTGTTTTTACTGAAGAAATCCTATCGTAAGAAAACCTCATTGTCTATAATATTTCCACTGAGTTTCTGTGTGACATTTCTTTTCATGCAGAGAAAACCAAAACTCAGACCGATCAAAATTAAGTATCAGCTGATTTGCGGAGTRAAGAAAAACTCTAGTCTTGTTAACCTTTCCCTTTAGGCGGATAGGCATGTGGAATTTCATCATTCTTGCACGGGATAAGGATATTTTTGTTGTACTTTAATTTCTATAAGTGTAGCAATTCACTTTAATACACCCATTCACTAGTTTTGTCATATGGCAAACAGGCAAACACTGAAGACAGGACGAGTAGAGACAGATGAGGTTGGACTTTCGTCAGCAAACAAGCCGACTTATTTCATGTACAAACTTACATTCTAACTACATGACCTGAATACAGGGATCACTATTTCAGTACTGTAACATGATGCTTTGCGTCAGAAGCGTAAGATTGCATGTGGACCAATTAACTTTCGCTATACTTTTTCATGTTCAGGGTACGTGATACTATTAAAATTGAGTGCAGTTGGAAGGACTATTATTTACTATAGGCGGTACCCTACTCTCGTTACAGGGACACGACTAGCTCGAGGCCTTCTGCCAGAATTCTCTGCCTTAATTTGTCCGGGAATTTGTCTTATGATATTAACTGGAAATAGAATTTTGAACTTGTGAAATTAGGGATATGCATTTTAATTACTCGTATTTTTTTCAATCTGCATAGTTCCTTTTTGACAAAATGGCGGTAAACATGCTAAATTTATCAATATTTCGCCATTTGATTGCCTATGATAATTTCACTTCAATTTCTGTGATTGACATTCTACAAAGACAGAATATTAAAATGACAAGGTTGATATAGCAACTTCACGCAGAAGTGCTTTGTGTAGTAAGGACAATCTGTTCAAAAGATTCTTTGTAGTATGTGTTTTAGAAACAGTGTTAAAATGAATTATTGATAATAAAGGTGGTGATCATCATACTAGGAAATGAAAGTATATCCATTTAGTGGTCGTTCAAGGCAGAAATATATGTCGTTATAGGTTGTATTAGTAGAATTAACCTCTGCTTGAGTGTACCTCTTAAAGCTTATTAAATTCAGTCAGATATGTATCATCATATCAGGAAATGAAACCTCAGGGAGCCCAATACCTTATAGTCTTTAAGTGTACTCGTTGGAACTGAAGATCATACTTAAAAAGATCAGTCTTTTCATCATCTTTTTCACCATACTAACAGAAAATAGATCGTTCTCATGGAATTAGAAAACTAAAACGAATCCC